GCTTATCATTTGATCTAAGGGAACTCTTTTTCATGGACTAAAACTGGTTGTATTCTCTAGCACAGAATCACCAGGATCCTGCAGAAAGAAGAGCATTTTTTACTTTGGGGCTCTGGCAAGTTAGTTGATATTATCTATATTCATTGAGATTAATGACAATTCCAATCTGAAAAAGCTATTGTTAAAACAAATGTAACATTTGGGTGCTAGAAACATTGGAACCAAAGGTCACTCATGCAATTGCCCCCACCTTTTCTAAACTAATTCTTCAAGGTAAATGTTGGTATAATCTCTGACTGGCAGATTCTACTTTCCTTGTTTGGAATTTGAGGGGCTTTTCCCTTAGATCTAATTTCATATCCTTTAAAGAAGTCGTGATGTAGGTATATATTCTCTCCGATTTGTAGCTAAGTAAATTTAGTGATTGTTTTGGCCCACACTTAGCTCATCCCAGTTACCAAGAAAACATGCTCGTTTTCCTAAATTATAACCATCATCTTGAAGAACAAGAATAGAGAAGGAAAATATGGCAGGCTAAATGTGAGAGTAATGGGGGTTAGAAGTTTGTATGGTCTAAATGTATCGTAATACTAAATGTAATAGTTGAAGAAAACAATTCTGGCTCAGTGGATAGAGTGTCAGCCTGTGGACTGTAGGGTCCCAGGTTTGATTCCAGCCAAGGGCACATGCTTGGGTTTTGGGCTCAATCCCCTGTAGGGGGAGTGCAGGAGGCAGCTGATCAATGATTCTATCTCACCATTGATGTTTCTATCTATCCCTCTTCCTTCCTCTCTACAATCAATAAAAATAATTTTTTTAAAAAAGAAAATAATTTACATTTCAACTTAAATACTTAAAATAACAAACTAAATTAAAGAGTACAGAATTGGTTTTGAGATGCTGGGATGGAACTTGTTTCAAAATAAAGAAACTATAAGAGGTTCCCACTACATCTTCAACCAATCTGTTTCCTAAGAACAACTATGCGGGGCGGGGGGGGGGGGGGGGGGGAGAGTAGGGGGGGAACATATCTCTTGGTAGATGAAAGGGCAAGCATGCTGTGCAGATCAGTAAGTCATCTCCACATCTGGAATATTAGTGCTTTGCCACTTGAGTTTTTATATAGACTCTGGGGCTGTGGAGATAAGAGCAACAGACGAGGCTATTTCGAAGTAAGCAGATCGAATGCATTAAAAACAATTCTGGAAAGGGGTTATACCATCATGATTGGAAACATTATCTATGTTCACAGTTTTTTGTAAGAGAAAAAAAATGAGCACTTTACAGATAAAATTATTTGTGATTAAAAAGGAAGAAGAAGAAAAAGCTTCCTGTAATTATCGGGATCTAATCCTAAGTATATGCTTACACTATCTCATATTACATTATCTCGTATTACAAATGCATAAGTAGTGGCTCAGAGCTTGTGGTCTCCCTGAGGACAGTAAGCTGGCAAACAGCAGCCCATCTCTAAAACCAGGTGAAAATAGGGCCCCTAAAAACCACATAATCTCTTAAGATTCTGCAACTGAGATTTCCTTCATGTCAGCCTTCTCTTATTTTTTCCTGAGTGTTGTGAATAACAGCAAGAATATTGTTGTTTATATATTCAGATTTCTGTTTAAGACTGGTATCTTGACTAGTGTAGGCATCTTACTAGATATTATCAGAAAGAAGTGAAACTCGCTGAAACATTTTCTGCTTTCATCAGTACATCTTGTTAACTTTACTGCATGAGTATAGTAAACTCATGAATTGTTCACAGAAGAAAAAAAAAGACTCAGGCTGACTTCTCTCCACATATACCTTTTTTTAAAAAAAAAAAACATAAGTCCCATAATGCTGATACTTCCTCTTCCCCTTGTTTATCCTAAGCTCAGTCTTTTCTTGTATCAGTATCATACCCAAAGTACTGTAATTTTTTTTTCTCTTTTCTTTTTTGGTTTTCCTCACCTGAGGATATTTTCTCTATTGATTTTTAGAGAGAGTGGAAGGGAGGGGGAAAGACAGAGAAAAACGCCGAAGTGAGACACATTGGTTATCGATCGGTTGCCTCCCCCATACGCCTGGGATGGAGAATCGAACCCGTGATCCTTCAGACCGAGGACCGCCGCTCTATCCACTGTGCCAAACCGGGTAGGGCTACTGTAATTTTTTAAGGAAACGTCCTATGCAAAAAGACCCTTTAAGAATGGTGGGTGTCTCTCTTCCGCCAAATTTGTTTTTTCTTCAACACGGAATAGATCCAAGAATCCTCTGAGCCTAAGGTGAACTTCGTTTTCAGCAGGCGCGTGGCCCCAGTTCGGAAGCGGCTGGGCGGGAGGCGTGCTGGAGCTGGAGCTGGCGCCTTCCTGCTGGGTCAGAGCTGGGTCCCGGTCGGATCCGAGGCGCCCAGGAGCGCGGCGGCTGCTCCCGCTCTTCCCGGAGCGCGCGCGCCCCCTGGCGGCCGCATCCCGGAGGGTGCCAGACTGCAGCGGGATTCCGGGGACCCCCTGCCGGCCACACTCGGGGCGCCCGCACCTGGAACTCATCCAGTCAAATATGAGTCCAGGCGTCCGGGCACCGACCTTGCTCAGCTGCCCCAGCTGCTCTGCCCACTCGCGCCGCGTCCGGCGCTCCGGGCTTCCTCCCGAGGAGCTGTCCCGGCGTCGGAGCAGGCGGCTCCTTCGCCAGCGCGGGGCGCGGCTCCTGCCTTCCCGCCACCCGGGAGGCTGGGAGGCGGCCTGGCGGGTCCCGGCGTTGGGGCAGCTGAGCGCCCTCCTCGCCCCGCAGCGCTGGCGTCAGAGCCCCAGACCCGGCGGGAAGGGGAAGAGCTGGTAATCGCTAGCCGCGGGACAATGCCGACTTTTGAACCTCTAACCACTGAACAAACAACCCTTGGGCTCTCGCTCCACTCCAAACAGGTTTATTGACAGGCGTTTCACAGCAACGCATAGCAACCGCGGCGGGGAGGGCGGGGGAGGGGGCGGGGGGCGCAGTCCGCGCGGGGGCACTGTCTCGGCGCCTCCACACGCTGGGGCCCGGGGAACCCCTGCTCAGCGGACCCCAACTCGACTTCTCCCGTGGGCAAGGCGGCCAGGCACTGCGCCCCCAGCGCCAGGCTCAGCCACCAGAGCCCCTTCCCAGCCCCGGAGCGAATGCGCCATCCGGAAAGAACGCGGAATCGGGGAGGCGCAGAGGGATGTATGCCTCGCAGCTCCGCTCTCGTCGTCCTCCCCCCCCCCCCCAAGCCCTCGGGGCACCTCCTACTTCCATGGGGACTCTGAGCGGGCTCGAGGGACTCCTGAGAAGACCGAAACGGAGGGCGAAGCCGAACGCAGAGTGCCCAGCGCGGCGGTTTCTAGGACCAAGAACCTCAAGAACAGCAGCCAGGTCCCCAGCGAACTAGCCGGATACCAACCATCGGTCACTAAAAGGATCTTCTTATGCTGGTTCTCGGTGCTTGTTTATGGGGCAGATGGTACTGAGGGGGGAATGAAGGGGAGCGATGAAGCTGCCGGACGGGGCAAGGGGTGGTGGCAGAAAGGGTCCCTGTCAATGCCCAACGACTCACAAGCTGTACTCATGGGAACATTCCTTGGGAAAACAGAAAATAAACCTTTTTTTGTTAATGCTCATGTTGAACTGGCTGGATTGGGGGCCATGCCTAAGAAGAAGGGAACCACTGGTGAGGGGAATGTTTGCAGTTGCCTTGGTGTGAATTTGATGAGATGCTATGAGGGGCTCTCTGAGGCCCAGCCCCAAAACAGCGCAGCTAGGAAGCAGCAGCCCATTCAAGTGTGCATTTTGCCCAGAGGCACCCCCAGGAGAACCGCGAGTTTCACAATCTAGGCTGGGCTCAAGCTTGGGGGCAGGGAAGGGCTCAGAAAGGCTCCCTCTGGCTTCTACCCCTGGGGTAAATGAGGCTGTCCCATGACCTTCCCCACCCTCCCCAGGATTGTGCTAATTCTCCTTGGCAAGTAGAGAAGATGTTTCTTTCTTTTAAAAAATAATAATGATTCTTGACAAAATCTGAAGACAATAAATACAGAATCTGACATCTGAAAAGCTCGTTTATCTCTTTTTTTCTTTATAGAAAAAAATTCAACTGTGTTCAAATACCCCCACTTCCCTTCACCATATCACTTCTCTCCCCATGGATCCAGGGGCTTTTTAAAGACTGGCTTGGATGTTACACAGACCAACAACTCAAACAGCAGCAACAACAACTCCCTTTCTTCATCAGTCCTGAGATTGTGAAAAGGACAGGAAGTCCAGGTCGGCTCTGGCGTTTATGGCACCGACATCCATTCAGCCGAAGAAGCTCTGGTGACAGGCTTTCTAAACAAGGCCCAGTCCCCGGGCCCCATCAGGCCTGGAGTCCCAAACCACCCTCACACCATCCACCACACAGACACCAGCCAAGCCTTTCCTGGTCTGGAGAGGGAAGAGAAAAAAGACAAAGACCTGGGGGTTCTGCAGTCTGTGGTCGGTTCAGGTTTCTATCTTAGCTGCCTCTGACTTCTGCAGTGTAAACCTTGCCTGCCCTTGAGGCTGGAGGGGCCAGCTGGTCCTTAGATGACAGTGAGTAGGCAGTAGCCATCTTGGCTCCACGCACTGGCATTCCCCTGAGTCCCTTTCTCCCCTCAGCTCCAACCAGAGATGCTTCCTGCAGATTTTGGAGGTAAAGAACTGGAGAGGAGGGGCTGAACGCCTGTCCGTTTAGCCAGTCCAGACAATGCTCCTGCCAGTACCACGTGAAGTCCCAGTGGTCATATTTCCGTCTCCTCACGGATAGAAAGAGTCAGACAAAAAAAAAGTCAAAATCTGGGACAGTGTCTTCCTTGAGGCCTCCGACCCCGCTTGTATTTGCTCCTGGCCCCATTTTTCCTCTGAGAGAGCTGGATAAGTTGGTGTGCGTTTGTGGATGGGAGGGGAGGGGTCTCTCCTGAGGATTCGAGCAGAGTCCATGCTCTCATGGCTCAGCCTGGAATTGCTCTGCTGCTGCAGGCCACTGTAGGTCACTGGGTGACAGTGGGGTTCAACACCCCCCCAGTTGGCCCCAGAACTCCAGGGACAGGGCCTGGCACAGAGCCTTGCAGGGAAGACACAGGACTCAGGGGCTCCTGGACACTTCTCAGAGGGCCTGGCTGTGGCTGGGGAGGCTGCGCTGTAGGCGGCGGAGGCTGCTGCTGCTGCTGCAACTTCTTCTTGTTGATTTTCCTTTCCTTCGCTCTGCGGTTCTGAAACCAAATTTTAACCTGGAAATGGACAGGTGGGGAAAACAGAAGATGGTAAAGCAGAGAATGTGAGGGGTGGAGAACTGGTATCAGCACTAGCATCAACATCTCCCTCTCTAACTAAAGAAATGCCCTCTCTTCAGGAAGAACCCCCAAGCTCTATCCGCCTTTCTTGGGATATCTCCATAACTATACCCCAGGAGCCCCTCATGCCCAACTCAGCACCTGAGAGAAGAGCATCACCCCCACACACACTTACACACACACACACACACACACACACACACACACCTGTTTCTTTCCAAAGGAACCTTTATCTACAGCTTTACTGGGAGAGCTCAGAGCCTCAGACCAAAGTTAAAACAGAAACCACAGGCCCTTGCTGTAACAAGCAAGAGGAAGCCAGGGCTAAAGGGACTTCAGATGACAACCTTTAGCCTCTCGAAGCTAAATTAAAAAGTAATAGCCGAAACCGGTTTGGCTCAGTGGATTGAGTGTCGGCCTGGGGACTGAAGGGTCCCAGGTTCAATTCCAGTCAAGGGCATGTACATTGGTAGCTGGTAGATGTCTCTCTCTCATCGATGTTTCTAGCTCTCTATCTCTCTCCTTTCCTATCAATAAAATTTTTTAAAAACGGTCTTCACCTTGGGGCAGAGAGTGAGATTTAATGTGGGCTTCCTGGCTGCGAATGTGGCCTGTTTTTTCTAGACTATATACCGAGTTTGTGAGCCAAGTCTCACCCCTTAGTTTTGATGGGCAGGCACGGTGCTAGAATTCTGAATTAAACTAATACTGTGGGGGGAGGGGGGTCCTTACATCTCCCAGACAGCATCCCCCCCCCAACAAATAGGAAAAAAAAATATTCAACATCATCCCAAAAGACCACCACAGGTAGAAGGAGCCTTTTTTTTTTTTTTTTTTTTTTTTTTTTTTAAAGCATTCAGAAGGAAATGCTTCCCATCTTGCTACTTTACCCTGCCCCAAACTGGGTGGATTCAGCAGCCTGGCTTCTAAATCCCCCACAGGAACAACCCCTTCCCTCAGGCGGTGACCAGTCAGAGAGAGGAGGGCAGTTCGCACCTGCCTCTCGGACAGCCCCAGGGTGGCGGCCAGCTCGGCTTTCCTCCGGATGGTGATGTAACGACTGTAGTGAAACTCCTTCTCCAGCTCCAGCCGCTGATGGTCCGTGTACACGACCCGGTATTTGTCTTTCGTCCTGGTTTTCACTGGAGGAAAAAGGAGTCAGAGCTGAGAACTACAAAGCCCATCAGTCATGGGTAATGACAAACCTCTCTAATCCAAGGGCCATTTCTCTTCCTCACCACCCAGGGGGCCAGGGCTTGTCCTGCCAGTCTGACAAGACCCTCCCCAACCGAGAGCCCTGGGGGCGGGGAGGGGGGGACTCTTCAGGGCAACTAAACCAACCTTGGAGTTAAGTGGGTTTAAATTAAAAAACAAAACCTAAAACCTTTACACACAGGAGAAAGCAGAAGCCAACCACCACTTTGGTGTACCAAATATGTACCGGAGCTGGCTAGGCCCAAAGAGAAAGAGAACAGGACAGAGTCCCAGAGTCCCAGGAATATTCAGATCTCCAGGCCAACCAGAGATGAAAGCCCACCTAAAACAGCTGGGATCGTGAGCATGCATTGGTTTCCTCAAGTCACCAGGACCACCCCCATACTGGGCCCCTCTGCGGGAATTCTGAGCTGGGATCCCGCACGCAGAAAGTCCCGCCCACTGGGGACAATATATATGCCCGGTGAAACGCGGTTTGGCGTTTCCACTCTGTTCTTCAATTCCCCATTTATATCTGACGCAAACTCTGCAGAGTTATCCCGACCAGGGATCTGTACTCACTGGGTAAGTCAACATATTAAACCTGGGATTGATTGTTTTGCGGAAGAGCCTTGACAAATGGTGCCTCCGCAGTTGGAGCAGAACAGAGCCTGGTGTCTCCACCGCGTCTGCCTGTCCTGGGTCAACCCTCGGCAGAGCCATGGCCAGGCCGGGTCTTCTGGAAGCAGAACTGGTTCAGCTGCCCAATGCCCAGTCCGACAGAAAGATCTGAAAGGTCTGGGAGCTACTCAGAGGTGTTTAATGCCCCGCAGGCCGACTTTGTTCAGGTAAAACCCTTTGCAAACCACAACAAAAGCGCCCTGGGAAGATACAGGCGGGATCAGAAGGAGCTCCCCTAAGCTGCTGAAAGCGGAACACAGTCGCAAACAATGCCGGACAAGGCGATCTTATCAAAGAAAAGCCCTTTCAATGCCTTAATAACAACCGCATTCTGTTTGAATTACCACTACTGAGCAAATGGCGGCCCCGGCTTTCATCCCCCTCCCCGCCAGGCGCATTAACATAAACACCGCCTGGCGGGCGCATGTGAATGGGAGCAGCGGCCCCGACCCCGCGCCACCGGGAAGCGCGGGGAGAACTGACACGTCCCGGGGCCCGCCCCGAGGTGGACGCATTCCCACGCCTTCCCGCCTCACAGGCAGTCAGTCGCCCCTTTTCACAGATGAGGAAACTGAGGAACAGACTAGGTCAGGCAGAGAGGAGAGGCGCGGCTGACAATGAAGTCAGGTTGGAGCTACAAAACACACCTCTGGGGCCGGGGAGTGGGGCGCAAAGGGGTTCTCCGAGCGAACTGCCCAGCAGAGACACCAGCCTGTCTGGAGGTGCTCGGGTGCTGGATACCCGGGACGGGACGGGTGAAGGCGGTGACCGGGCCCCGTGGCGCTCTGTGGCCCGCGCCCAAGGGCCTGGAGGCGCCCCGCACCCCCTGGGAACGAAGGAGGGCGCTGGGAGAGGAGAGAGATGAGAGGGACTTGCCAGAATTCATTATTGACTGCGAAAGTCACCACCCTCTTTCCGGGCCCTAAAAGAGACAATGGCAAGGCTGGGAAGGTGTATATCAAAGCGGCCGGGCTGAGCACCACCCCCTCGCCCCCTGACAGATGACGCTCCGCAGAGGAGCCGGGCAGGCCCGAGGGCCGCGGCCTCCCCGCATTAACATCACAAGGGCGCCCGGCGCCCGCGGCGGCCTCACCACCTCGGCGCGGGACTTCACAGCGGCCTCTCATCTGCTGACCCCTCGGCCTGGGCTCCTTGTCTGCCCTCCCTCTCCCTCCGCTCTGGGCGCTCCCAGGACCCGCCAAAGGCCCTCCCCCCCCCCCCCAAGTCGTCGGGTCCCCGCCTGTTGCGCCCCTGGCAGTCTGTAAAATAAGCCTTAGGGTGCACACCCTGTTCTGATCAGGGCGCCCCCTCTGGTCCTGTGGCCTTCTCCCTGGGCGCTCACACTTCCCCCCGAGCGATCGTGGCATGTGCCCAGTGACACAGAAACCGGTGCCCAGAGACAGCCCCCAGCGGCTCTCTGGTCTGCGCAGCTGTAACTGGCTGTAAACTTCTGCGGAGTGACCATAACCTGCTGCGGCCTGGCTGAGGCAGAAAGGAGGGAAGAGAAAAAGGCGGAAGTGCAGAGGGCTGCGAAGATCTCATGGAACAAAAAGGAGATGCCCACAGAACTCTTCCCCACACGCTTCCAGACACTGTAAGTGGCAGACCTGGAACCAATGAGTCCCAACAGCCCGGTAAACCTAGGACCTTTGCAGGAACAGCTCCTGAGCAAGCACCTAGAACACACACACACACACACACACGTACACACGAACACACACACACGAACACACACACACACACACACACACACCTGGACTCCTGAGTGGGAACAAACGATCAAACGATTCCTGCCTGGAGCAGAGACTAAATCCGCTCCACAGCTTCTCCCTCCTGTGGTTTCTTGCTCTCCTGCTTCAGGTTGAAACAACCTTTTGCAGATCAAAAGTTCAAAGACCAGGGCGCGCCCCCTTCACCTTAGCTTCTAGAATCAACACCTCCTTTCCAGACAGAGAACCTCTCCCGACTTGCTGCAGCTCAGACCCCTTGAGTTAGCCCCGAAAGGCTAGACCTGGCCCCCAGGGCGCCCGCCTGGCCCCCTAGGCCACCTCTCTTCCTGGACAGTCAGATGCAGAAGGAGGTGCGGAGCGATGGGAGAGAGTCGGCAGAGTTGGAGACTCCCTCTTCCAGGTGCCTGGAAGCTGCGCACCGAGGGCGAGCGGAGGCAGCGAGTGGGGAGGACGCGGCTCTGTGGCACAGCCGCGCTTCTCCGCTGCCCTAACTGCGCCCAGTGTGAAACAACATATCCACTCCGACCTCTCCAGCCTGGGCGCTGGAGCTAGGGAAGCCCCGGCCCTCGGGGCTTCCTGGTGTTGTCACCCAGGCCCTCCTTCCTGGCGCGGAGCCCCCGACACCCGGTGCGCACAGGACACGCGGCCCGCCCCGCAGCCGGTGCCCGGGCCGGCGCCGGGCCACCTCCCCGGGCGCCCTCGCGCCGCGCTCACCTTGGCTCCCGAGGGCCGGCTGCGCCGGCTTCCGCATCCACTCGCACAGGCTCCGCCGCTGGCCGCCGGGGGACAGCTGCTCGGTGGCAGCGGGGGCGGCGGGCCCGGGGGGACCGGCGTTGAGAGTCTGCAGCAATCCCGAAGCGCAGGAGGGCGCGGCGGGCGGGTGGTGCGGGTGGTGGTGCGCGTGGTGGTGCGGGTGGTAGTCGGCGGGGCTGCTGTAGCCCATGGCGGCGGCCGGCGAGCCCCCGTTGAGGCCGTGCGCCACGGCGTTGGCCGCCACCGCGGCGCCCCCCGGCGCGTACCCGTTCCAGTCCTCGCGGAGTGGGGCGCCATAGGCCGCGGGCCAGGACGGCGCCGGGGACTGCGCTGTGTCCAAGTTCGCGGCCGCCGCCGCCGCGGCCGCCACATGGTAGCCGCCGTAGTCCGGGTACTGCGGGGGGCTGACGAAGTTCTGCGGGGCCAGGTTGAGGCCGCCAGAGTGGCGCACGGAGCTGGGGTACATGCTCACGTCCTTGTCCAGGAGATAGCTCACGTACATGGTGGCGGAGTCCCGACTGCCAGCCTCACCATGCTGCCTGGGGGCGAACGCTGGGGGCCGCCACCGGAGCGAAAGGGAAAGGCGAGGGGACACCGGAGCCGCGGGTGGCTGCGCCCCGGCCCGCGGTGCTCCGCTGGCTCCGCGCGGCGCTTCTGCCTCTGAGGCGGTCCCTCCCACTGGCCTGTCTCCACCCTCCCTCCCTCCCTTTCTTCCTTCTTTCCTCCCACCTCCTTCCCACCGGGCCGCAGAGGCGGGGAAGACTGGCCACTGGCTGGCGTGCGGAGCCCGGGGCCAAAGGCCTTGCGTGATTAACGAGTGTTTACAGGACCCTATTGGTAATGACACAGACACCAATGGCTGGAGACTTCGAGGCGCAGCGCGCACCCCGCGCACAGCCCCCAAAATATAATTTGCATTTTAAAAGATAAGGGGTGGGGGACAACTCTCAAGAAGGCGGCTCTATCACAGCTAAATATTCAAACCTTTATTGTTAAGAGCTTCCTCCTTCCAACCGGTGCACTTTAACCTCCAATCACAGGTTCAAAGAATGAAATCAAGAAACTTGCAAAAGAGAAGCGGGGAGAGCAGTCTTGGTGGGAATCTGAACTTGGGGGCGACAGGGCTGTGTTCATGCATTTGCAGAAAAGGGGAGTTCAAGACGCTCCTTCTGTTCTAAGAGAAAAGGGAAGCCACTGCTGTGATGACAGCGTTCCTAACCTAACTGTGAGGTGAAGAGCGGAGAAAGTATAGATGCGCAGGTTCCTTCCCTCTCAGAGCGACTGTAAGCCCTCAAGAACTGTCACCGCTGGTCATTATTTCCCCCAAGAGATAATTATGGGCTGCAGGCTGCATCTCCCGTTCATCTAACATTTGGGATTTAATTTAAAGCAATTAATTTTAAGAAATTACACTTAGGACTCAAAAGTCTTAACTAGCCGAAACCGGTTTGGCTCAGTGGATAGAGCATAGGTCTGCGGACTGAAAGATCCCAGGTTCGATTCCGGTTTGTACTTTGGTTGTGGGCACATTCCCAGAAGAGGGGTGTGCAAAAGGCAGCTGATCAGTGATTCTTTTTCATCGATGTTTCGAACGCTCTATCCCTCTCTCTTCCTCTCTGTAAAAAAAAAAAAAATCAATAAAATGTATATATTTTTAAAAGTCTTAATTACAAACCAAGTTAGAAATCAAGCTAGTGTAGGGCAGTAATGGAGCAGGCGGAGGTTGTTAGAGTGAGGTACTGGTTACACCGTGTGTTCGTGAAAATTCCACGAGCTACACATAAGTATATGTTTATTATACTTAAACACGTGGTTAAAAATCAAGGAAAGGGGAGCCTAGAATGTCTGCTAATGTATACCTAGATCCTAACAGCACTTTGCAAGGTAGATAAATCATTCTTGAAAGAAAATTGTTTTTCATCTCCAGGAGTTGGGAAGGGAACCTGACCCATTACTAATGACTGCCTCTGCAAAGCTCTGGGTGGGGACGAGTTGGGAAAGGACCTTCCTTGGGTTTTGAAGCACTGTGTCCAAGGACCCAGGGGCTGGAAGTGTGGGCTGTGGGGACCTTGCTGCAGGCCTGGCTGGGGGTCTGCACTTAGAGGGGTGCAGGCCAAGGTGATCTGGTTACTGCACACGCACTTCTCTCGGTTTAGCAACTATAGGGGGTGGGCCTGAGGTGGCTGTCTGCCTTCTCTCTGAATCCAGATGGCAGTGCCAGGCTGGGATTCACAGGACCAGCTGGGCTGGGCAGGCTGACTGGGTGGCTCTGGGACCAGCAGGGTGCCCATTGCCGTCCTTCAGATCTGCATTTGATGCTCCTCGTCAAGTGCTTTCTGGTAATTGTCACTTCCTCTAGTCATCTCTGGAGTCTTTTCCAATGTCTTTGTTGTTGTTGTTGTTGTTGTTGTTTGCTCTAATGTCTTTTCTCTCCCCTGATCCTCACTTCTCCCTAGATTCGGAACAAAGCTGGTCTTGTCATGCTCTTCCACCAAGCTGACATGGTGCAGGGGTGCCAGGCCCAAAGAGGTCCAGGGCCTCGGGCTCTCCTGCTTGCTAGTCTCTCAGGTCCTGTTGTTTCCTAAGGAAGAAGGTTAACATTGAGGGAAGGGGGTGCAGCAAGCTGAGCACTCAAGAGCTGGGAGACCTGAGTAGGTCATCTATCTGGAAACCCTGAGCCTGGCCCAGACATCTGAGAGTCATCGGACCTCACCAGAAAATAAATAGAAAATGCATTGCAAGCCCCATTACAAAACTCAAATCATTGAATGGGGTATGCGTGTGAAAGGGTGTCTGCAGTCCTGACAGGGCAGGAATGTGAGAGGTTAAGTGATGGGCACTGCGGACTTTTGATCTAGTAAACATCTTCCTCCTCTTCCTGGAGACACAGTCCCTCCTTCCGTCCCCACACCCCCTCCCAGGCCTCAAGCTCTGAAAGTCAGCGGAGGCCCAGGCTTGAGCCTGTGTCTTCGGAATGTGAGCATTCTTTGTAACAATCACTTTATTGGGGACAGCCATCCCCTCCGCCCTGTGGTGGCCACTTCCTGCATTTTTATGACCCGGCTGCAAGCCACTGGCTAATTGTCCTGGTTTTCCAGCTGTGTCTCTGTGCTCTGCACCAGAGAAAGGGCTCTGGCCTGCCCACCCAGATGCTTTGGGGGTGGCCTGAGTGGCTGTGGCCCCAGGGGTCATGCCAGGCCCAGAACTGGCCGGACTGGAGGGAAGCCTGATTCTCATTTGGGGTTCGAGGGTTGGAGAAAGGAAATGCTTGTGAAAACCAATTAATTTCCTTCCTGGAAAAAAAAAAATGGTCCATAGTAGCAGCATGACCCCGCCCATGAGCTTGGGGTCTGGGCTGTTGGTGAGGGGAGAGCCAATAAGGATGTCTTAGACCAGCTCCTCGGAGTGGATGTGCCCCTCATGTTCAGGCTGTCCTCCCTTTGGGTGCTGCAGTGGCAAGGTGGTGGGAGCAACCAGAGAGGGGTGCAGGTGGCTGATGGGAAGAGGGCCTGGATCTCTTTATCCTGGTGGCTTAGCCTCTAGCAGGTCATTGTAGGTGCCTATTCTGAAACCTGCTGTGGATTGGGGGTGGCCCTCCCCCAGCCTCTCAGTGTAGGTGTGTGGCCTTGGCAGAATGGAGGTGCCATCTGCATTAGGGCCCCAAGCAGTGCTTTCTCAGTAGTTCTAGACCCAAGGTGCTTGATAGTTTTCTCAGAGCCTTTTGGCCTGAGCTGAGAAGCACTTTGCAAGGTCATCCCCAACCTTGCTGCTCAAGACTCCTTTCCAGCCAGTGCCTCTGTTCCCCCCCCCCCCCCCCTGCCTTCAGCGTATCACTCTGGAAGAAGCCAGCTTATTTGGGAAGCTTGGAGCTGGACTTGGACTGGGGCTGTAGCTGTGGTGGCCCCATGGAGCCGGAGCTATATCAGGCTTTTCAAGAGAGGGTGAGAGGAGGCACCCAAGTAAATACAGTGTCAGGAAGACTACATAGGCGGTCACAACTCAGTTATCACAGGGGCTTCTCTTTGTTACTGACAGTGGTGTAGAGGCCACTCCACACTCCTCAGAGAAGGTCGGGGCTTCCAGGCTTCCAGGCTTCCACCCCGTGGCAAGGGCAGGGGTGCAGAGGGGGATGGGAAGCCGGAGGTGCCGGAAGGGGCGGTTGCTTCTCTAAGCAGATGAGACACTCCTTGAATCCACAGATCATTGACAGGGCTCCCTCCCTGCTCAAAGGTCCCCAGTGTTCGCTCCACCTTGGGGGACCCTGCTTTCCCCCATATTTGTGGCTCCTGGAAACTGGGGAGGCTGTGACCCAGACAGGGTAGGCCCTCTCACCCACCTTCCCATGCAAGTCTACTTTCCAAATCCCTTTTAAGATCAAGAAAATCATCCAAATAATGCACCTTCCTGACTCCCTCTCCACCCTTGCTTAGGAAACTCTCACCCTGCTTTGTCCTGCGTTCCCAGGACAATTAAGGAAGAGTAAGAAGGAAGAAAATGTCAGATAAAGTTTTCAGTTTGGCAATCTAAATTGCTGTTGGGAAAATAACTCAATCTCTACTTCACTGGAGTTTAGAGAGTTTCTCAGCCATTGCATTCAATCAGCAACATCCCCCAACACAAACACACACACACACACACACACACACACACACACACACATACTCGCACCACTCACACACTCTTACACACTCTTACACTCTCTCTCTCTCTCTCTCTCTCTCTCTCTCTCTCTCTCTCTCTCTCTTTCTCTCTCTCTCACACACATACACACACACTCACACACACACTCTTTCTCTCTCTCTCTCTCTCTCTCTCTCTCTCTCTCACACACACAGACACACACACACACACTCTTACACACTTTCACACACACACACACACACACACACACACACACACACACACAAATGAAGGCCCAATAATAGCTGGTTTGGCACCAACATCTCCACCCTGGCCTGCCAAGCCCACTCAGCTAACCTCACTGGGAAAAATGGATCACAGCTTCCTCTCTGTGGGGCTCCCCAGCATCCACCGCCTGTGTGGCTCCATCAGGCCACATGGAGCCCAATGCGCTCGTCCCAAAAGGCAGGGAGGGACCACAGCTGCCCGAAGCTGCCCAGGCGCAGCTTTACTGAGTGTCTGGTCTTCTGCCTGAGCAAAAGTTCCTGAATTTGTGGGCGGCCGCCTGGACTCAGGGATCAGAGTGCCAGACAGAGGAGGAAACAGATGCCTGGTCCTCTCCAAGCGCTCTGAACCAAGGCAAGCAGTACCTTTCCTTGCTCTTCTAGTCAAATTCCATTCCGAAAGCCAGGAGGTCTGGGAAAATAAGGAGCCCCCAAAGAGGGGACGGAATCTGGGGGCAGAAATCTGGTTTTGCTCATTGGGTGAAAGTTATGTGTGTAAATGGTGGGGTGGCCCATTTCCTCCTTTTCTGCTGAAATCAGTCTGTGGACACGGTGTGAACATTGTATAATGCACTCTAATGCTGTGTGATGGGTGGGC